TAAAAGCCTGGGCAAATTGATCCATACGATGATCATTCTCCTCTAGCTTTCTCTCACAAGCAGCTATGTGCTGACACAATTCTGCAGGATCTACGGCCATGTCGTAATGTCAGGATTACTAATTGATCCCACACGCAGAATTGTATAACACCTAGGATGTCATAACGAAGCCAAAGTCAAATACCAAAAAATCAAGATCAGGAACGCACTCTCGAATTACCATCAGGCAAAAACCACGACAGGGCAATGAGAGAATGTAAAAATAAGCTTAAATAACCCTCCTGTTATTCCGATTGCCTGTAATCAGCCTTTAACCCCAAAATGTGCGTGCGCGGGATGTCACGCGCACGCAGACGTCATCTTCAACGTTAGAAGTTAGAGTCAATGCCTATCATAGAGGAACCTTTCACGAGGGTAGCCGTAAATATTGTAGGACTCCAAGCTAAGCCTAGTCCCTCTGGTAATAAGTACATCCTCACCATTGTGGACTATGCTACCCGGTATCTAGAGGTGGTGGCGTTGACGAAATGGTCGCAGATGCTCTGATACGAGTCTTCTCCAGAGTGGTGTTCACCCGGGAGATAGTCTTGGACCAGGGTACCCAGTTTACAGCCAAAGTCACTCACCAACTTTGGAAGCTATGCGGGATAGGCGTGCAATACGTTTGGTCCGAATTTAACGGCAATTCGGATTTTGGCAATTCGGACATTTGGATGCTTCCAAATTGCCCAATTTCGGAAGTGCCAAAGTGCTTCAGATTTCTGAAAAGTGGCAAAACAGGAGAGGGAGGGAAAATTTAGGGAATAATGATAGAATTCTAACCCTAACCCTACCCCTAACACTACTCCTAGCCCTAACCCTAAAGCCCATCCACAGCTTCCCATACCACCCTGAGACTAATGGTCTCTGTGAGCGGTTCAATGGCATGCTGAAGCAACTGCTTCAAACCTTTGCTAACGCTTGCAGGGATTGGGAAAGGTTCCTGCCTCACTTACTCTTCAGATATAGAGAGGTGCTGCAGGAATCCACAGGGTTTTCCCTATTTGAGCTCTTGTATGGGAGAAGGGTGCGAGGCCCCTGGACTTCATTTGAGAACATTAGGAAGGGGAGACCGAGTGTGGGGGCACTCCATACGTGCTAGAGCTATGGGACCAGATGGAACAGCTAACACAGATGGTTCAGGATAACCTACAGGCTGCTCAGCGAAAACAGTGCTTTTGGTATGACCGAGGTGCCTAAACTCATAGTTTGCATTTCGGCCAGAAAGTGATGGGCCTACAACCAGTCCGGCATGACAAGCTGCAAGCAGCCTGGCAAGGGCTTCACCAGGTAGTGGAACAATTAAGCGACACCACTTACGTGGTGGCTAGTTGTATGAATGGACAACTCAGGCGCACTTTTCACGTAAATATGTTACAAGTATACCATGAGAAGACAGAGGACGTGGCCCCCTCCTCAGATGACCCAGATAGCCTGCCCCTACCAAACCTCCTGGGGAAGGGAACCTTGAGGGAGACCTGGAGTAAGTCTAGTTAGGGGAAGGGATAAGCCCCCGGGAGAAAGAGCAAGCCAGACAGATGTTTGTCAAAAAGAGAGAGACCTTTTCTCAGCACCCCGGGTACACTCAGTCCACAAGGTGGAAACACCAGGGCAGGCACCACTTAGGCAGACCCCTTACCGCATTCCCAAGGCAGTCTGGGAAGGAATGCGGCAATAAATCAATGAGATGCTGAAGTTAGGGATTATAGAACCCTAGGAGAGCCCCTGGGCTTCACCGATAGTACTAGTACCTAAGCGGGATGGAACGACCCACTTCTGTGTAGACTACCGGCGCTTTAACAACAAATCGATAACAGACGCATATCCGATTCCCAGAGTAGATGAGCTATTGGACCGTGTTGCCAGGGGACGTTTGGGATGAAGAATGCCCCGGCGACCTTCCAAAGGATGGTGGATAGACTTCTCGATGGCCTCCAGGACTTTTACTTGTGCGCATACCTGGATGACATTGTGGTCTTTAGCGATACCTGGGAGGAACACTTAACCCATGTAGGGACAGTCCTGGATAAATCCGTGCAGCTGGTTTAACATTAAAACTGGACGAGTGTCACATAGGCATGCCGGAGGTACAGTGTCTAGGACACCAGGTTGGGTGCGGGAAGCAACGGCCGGAGCATGCTGTTGCTAACTGGCCCACCTCTCATACTAAAACCCAAGTCATGGCCTTTTTGGAGACAGCCGGCTACTACAGACGCTTTGTCCTAGACTACAGTGCCCTTGCCAAACCCTTGACGGACTTGACAAAAACAAATCTTCCTAGACAGGTACTGTGGTCTCCCAAGTGCGAACAGGCTTTCCAGTCCTTTAAGAATGCACTAATTCATGCCCCCAATCCTAACAAATGTTTCATTGTCCACACAGATGGCTCCATGTTTAGACTGGGGGCTGTTCTGAGCCAGGTCAGGAAGGTCGGAGGAAAGCACCCTGTAGCCTACATCAGCAAGAAGCTCCTACCCTGGGAAGTTAGCTATGCTGCGGTGGAAAAATAGTGTTTGGCCCTCGTCTGAGCTCTAAAGAAACTTAAAGCCTACCTCTATGGACGTTCCTTTATTATCATCACCAACCACAACCTGCTGATGTGGCTGAACCGGGTCGCAGGAGACAATACACGGTTTCTAAGGTGGAGCTTGGCCCGTTAACCGTATGACTTTACTATTCATTACCGACCCGGTAAGCAGAACGGGGACGCAGACGGGTTGACCCGGCAGACCGAGCTTGTCACCCAGGACTGAGACTAACCGGACATCCCCAAGTTGACCCAACAAGGGTCAAACCATATCTGCCAGAATGAGGTCAAGGGTGGAGCAGTGTGACATTGCAGTTTTACATTGCAGGGTTAAACACACCTCTAGCTGCTGTCTTTGAAAGAGCTTGGTCACGTAACGTTGCAACTCCTAGTACTTGTTTTCCTTTGAAACGCATTTGGATGCGTACATGGCACTTGCTGAACGTGCACATCCGTCCTCCCATGCTCCTCTTTTTCCCCAGCATAGACTTTCAGTCAGTGCCGGGGAGATGACTAATCAGAGGCTTCTCATTAAGAAACCTCTAATCCTGCGCTTGGATCATGCACTCATAGCTTTAAGCACAAGCTCTCCAGTCTTAAAGCCAAGGAATCTGTGGACAGGGCTAAAGTAGACACTGTGGGCTACCCGTACACTTTTACTTGGGGGAGAAGGCGGGAGCTTTCTAACAGAGCGTGCTTGCCATATCTGTTAGCTCCGTGGATCTTAAGAAATTGGGAAGACTTTTCCAGATGTCTGTATGACAGCCAGGTAGATGTTTCTGAACTCTAGAAGTACCAATTTGAAACAGAAATGAGTGGAGTTATAAACTGTAATTAAGAGGAGATGTCCTTATAGGTGCCACCAATGGTGGGTAATACAAATTGACACTTCAGCTACCGCCGCAAATCCTCTTTTACATACATCACAATGTAGGGAAGTATGTAAGGCGTGTCAGTAATGATTCCTTCATTTATTTAAGCTAGTATCACTTGATGTCTGCTTACATAGCCGTGACCAGGTTCCGGGAACAAGGGTAAGAGAGATAGACACGCACCCAAAACTCTTTTTTTCTCTCTTTTGAATAATCATTATCTACTTGGTTCCAGTCATCAGCTCCTGGCAGTTTCATTAGACAAGAGCCCCATCACTTCTCTTGCACATCTGCAATCAGATGACATAGGCATGCTGTTCCACCATTGTTTGTTTAAAGGAGCACTATATGGTCAGGAACACAAACATGTATTCCTTACCCTATAGGGTTAAAACCACCATCTAGCCCCCCCTGGTCCCCTTATGCCTCCCCAAATATAGTAAATCTTACTCGTATTCAAGCCTGAGGCTGCTGGCTTTGTCACTGTTTCCTTTTGACCTGCCGACTGCCTGCTGACATAAGCAGAAGTGGTAGCCTGATCCAATCACAATGATTCCCCATAGGATTGGCTGAGACTGACAAAGAGGCAGATCAGGGGCAGAGCCAGCACAATTCAAACACAGCTCTGGCCAATCAGCATCTCCTTATAGAGAAGAACTGAATTAATGCATGCAGAGGGAGGAGACACTGAATGTTTGGATGCATTTTAAGCAGCCATGACCCAGGAAGGATTTCTAACAGCCATCTGAGGAGTGGCCAGTGAAGTTATCACTAGGCTGTAATGTAAACACTACATTTTCTCTGAAAAGACAGTGTTTACAGCAAAAAGCCGGAAGGTAATGATTCGACTCACCGGAACAAATTCAATAAGCTCTAGTTGATCTGGTGACTATAGTGTCCCTTTAAGGGAAATGCTCTGCCTATTGCTACATTTTAATAATGAATCTTCTTGCCCATCATACCTTCCACATTCCACAGAAAGAGATAATGCAAACAGCAAGCAAGCAAATTGACAACCTGTTTATTATTTTTTAATTTTTTTTTAATTTTGTATTTTTGCCGTGCATAAAAAATCAAAACATACAATTTCGAGGTGCCCCAATGGCAATCCTTGAAACAAGCATCGCATGGTACACTTATTACAGATATTAGGGATAAACGTGAGTATAACAATTATGCTAAGCCTATTAGGAGAAGGAGCATATATGCAACTTGCAATTGTTTTTTTTTTGCTTTGGTTAGGGAAAGCGTTATCGTGAGTGTGTACTCTGTGTTAGGCATAAACAAGTGTGATATACACAGGCTGAATATGCGTGGTCATGAACTATATTGCTATAGCTTAGCCGATAAGACAATACTACAATACGGTTGAGGCCAAAGTGTTCGGCTATCTACCCCTGATGTATGCAGGTATGTCTCATCTCCAAATATTAGGTGTGTTTTTGACTAAAGGTAGAGCATGGCGGTATTATTAGCAGTGGGTTGTAAGCAGTCACAGATAGACGCAATAGGAGGTATGAGGGATGGGGCGGATTTCTTATCTGTGGTGGTAAGTGTCCCGGTCAGCCAACTCCTGCCTGTGGTATGTTACAGTCCCGTTTAGGAGCCTCTGCCGCTTTTCCACTGATTGGGTACAGGCCTGGTAGGTGAGCTCGATCAGTAGGGCAATTTGAAGCAGCAGTGTTGCTCCCCTCCTGTTGTGGGCCAGGCGTCTTGCTTGCGTGCACTCGGTGGTCGTAGTAGACCCCCGGTCCTCTTATCTGGCACCCCCTGGGTGCTAGCGCCCTCTTGCCACTGACCTGGGATCCGTTGTGACCCTTGGTCGTCCCTGTCGGGAAGTGACAGTGAGTTGTGTAACGTTGCATGGGTCTTCGTGTGGCATCTTTCCACTGGTGTGGTCGACGCTTGCGGGGCATGCCCCTGGTAGCTCCCAACCCGGGAGGGCCTCTTTTGTGGGAGATCGCTTTTTTTGTTTTCTTTGTGCCCTGAGGTGGAGGCCCCGGTCTCCTCCCGCCATAGACTTTAGCCTGTGAGGGCAGCGTGGGATGGACTGTCGCTGCTTGCAGTCGCTTCATCCACTTGGCCCAGAAGCGGTCGAATAGTGCATTGATGGGGTCACCAGCAGAGTCGTAGGTGCCTGGGGTGGGATCTGGTCGTTGTTAGTCTCGATTTTCTGGTTTTATCAGTGCCGCCATCTTGGAGGCCCTCACCACCGCGTTGCTCGAAAGGCTGACGGGAACCAACGTTTGGTGCGGCGTGTGGGAGGGCGGTTTTCGTGTGCTTGAGGGCCTTTGAGTAGGGCGGGAAGGCCCCGTCCTTCCCCCCTCACCTCCTCCAGTAGGCCCAAGCCAGCCATAGCGGTTCCCAGGCTTGCCGGGTGTCAATATAGGTATCGGTGTGTGCACAAGCGTTATGTCAGTCCGATAGTCTTGGTTATTCGCCACTCTTGTCGTTGTGTCTCGATTTTTCAATGCATTTGAGTCCATATAGCTGGAGCCCATGCGAAGTGCAACCAGCCAGCTTGCTTGCTCGGCTCAGCTCCCCCTGTTTGTTATTTTTAATGTTGTGAGTGAAAGGAGTGCTGCAGATCATATACATTTTATTTTTGGACCCACTCAATCTTTCAAAAATGGGATAAGGAAAAATAACAAAGCCAATTCTGGGTCCCTGTTACTCTCATAACTCCTATTTATTTAGTAACACTGTTCCTGGTGAAACTTTGAGGAACAACATCCTGAGGTATTTCGTCCCAAGTCAATCCCAATACAGTTTATTTTATCTTGAATTTTCTTGTTAAAAAGGGAACTTCAGCCAGTTTGAAGGAATTGACTGCCTCCATTTTGTTGTGTTTAAATTTGCTACTGTAAGTTCAACAAGTTATATACAACCATACAAACGTTAAAATGTAGAACTTTTTCTGCTCTATGAAATTAGCAGGAAAGTGGAAGATTTATCCCACTGCACAGCTTGCGTGCAAACCCAGCAGTGAATCCAGCAGTGACTTAATGCAGAGCACAATGTTTGGACTGCATGATATAAGTATATGCCTTGAATCTAAATGGATGTCCAGTGCTATCTAGTGGGCACACTGTAAAGCAACTTTGAAAAAGCAAATAGTTTAAAAGCCTGTAAGAGGAACTGGATCAACCTTCCCATCAATTCTATTTTGTTTTACATAGATAATAAATAATTTGATAGTTTGTATATGCATAATGTTGTGTTTCTATTGGTTTTATGTGGCCATCTACAAATTGCAAGCTTATTATTTTACTATTTTATCTAAGTTGCTAGGTTTTTTTTAAATAGAATATTACATCCAACACAAAAGCTATAAAACATAAGTCCTGGACCACACCAACTGAGCATTTTTCTAATAAAACACAAACCCAATAAGGAGAAAAGAAAAAACAACATACAAAAGAAAAAAAAGGAAAAGTAGAAAAGAGTGAAGCAAGCAAGTAGATGCTAGAAAGGAAAAGGAAGGTAAGGAATAGGTCAGAGATAGAGGGGGAATGATGTGCACCTCAAACTGACCATATTATGGAAGTTGATAAACTCAATCCAAGAATCTCATGTTTTGTGGAAATTAGGTATGGCACGGTGGACCATGGAAGATATTTTGTCCAACATGTTGTCATGCATTTTTCCTATAAATTAAGTTATTACTTTTTAATCATTGTTATTTGATACCATTTACCTTACAGTGTTCCTCATTTGCATCTACACCATTAAATTGAGAAAAGGCAGAAGTCCAACCTAATACAACAAAAGATTTCAGAGCAAACTATAAGTGTATTATGATTATTCAAGTTGTATTATTTAGGTGTGCAGCTCGAGAAGATGTGTTGTAGCAGCTATTTGATGTATATACTTGTTCTGTGATTTATACATAACAAGCACTTAGTCACAATTATCTACTTTGTTTTCACTGTACATGGCTACATCTAAGCTATATTTAAGCCTATTGAAACATACAGTTCAGTAAGCCATTAATCTGGCTCTATCCCTTCCACAGACATGCACAAAGTGATGGTCATAGAATTCCATCGGATCTGCAACAAACAAGCAATTGGTATAGAAGTGAAACATATGTCTACAGAGAGAATTAACCTCTATAGCTAGGTACCTACATGTGGACAGTTACTGCCATTCATATTTCTAAGGAAAAGGTTTGAATTAGGTGCAATAATAACTTTCAAATAAGCATGGTGTAGATGAGCATTTTAACACCTTCCCTGTTTATACACACATCCATTTTTCAATGCATCAAACCCATAAACCTACACTCACCATTAGAACAAGTATCTCTGGTAGGACTCTATTCAATAGAGACTACACATTCTCTCATGCTGTACATAAGCCTTTGTAGGTCAAACTGCAAAAGGAACATTCAAAGCACAAAACCTACTGCGTTTTGATGTAGTGGTTTTGGTGTATTTTCGGATTATGTAAAACATTACAATTTCTTAGAAATGTCACTGTTAACATTTGGCCAAAAACATGCCTCTAGTGGTTGTCATCACTCACATCATGACGTAGCCAGATCCCAGCTCATATGCTTCTCATAGAAGTTTTGGATTGGCAGACCACAGCAATTGATGCTTACATCTCATAGGTGTGCAATGCTTCTATATGTGGAACATCTAACTCGACTACGGATGATCATGTTTAACTCACTAAGGACAGATCAGGCTGCAGAGAGGAGGAAAAAAACACTGTGATTACTTAATAGTAAAAAGGCAGACAAGTAAGAGAAGAAAATTCTTCACTCAAAAAACATATAGCCTCAACTCTAAAATTAAATAAGTATGGATATTCTGGTTTTCATCATACTTATAGCAGTTCAATAGGTTCAATAAGGGGGTTACCTTCTCAGTGCTGGAATCCTGAAAGTAATCAAATGATATTTCACACAGGACAAGTTTGTTGATACGCACTCATAGGGAATCCCCCAAAATACATCAGGAAGAAATCATAGAAAAAATGCACATTTATTGAAGTAAAAAAAGAAAATATATATGGCAAGATACTATAACAGCAGCCGTCATGTATGCGGTGCTGTATTGGTCCAAGCATGTGAAAACGAAAAAAAGGGTTGTGAGTGAACAAAGTATAAAAAGTCCAAAACCTGAGCATAGGACCACCCGCAGCTGCTGAACAGGGTACAGACCATCAAAGACGAAGAGCCTAAAGAAAGATTAGATAAGCCCTGAATGCGTATTTGGCTTATCCCTTCTTGAACATCAACTCTGTTACATATCTTAGTTTTATCAAGAAGACATACCTTACCATCAAGACCTTCTGCAATATTACTCATTAAAATATACAAGAGAATAGGTCCAAGTAGAGATCCCTGAGGTACCCCACTGGTGACAAGACCATGCTTCGAATATACTCAGAGCACTCGGAGTGGTGCAAAACACATCCCAAAACTAAAATCATCTTTAAAAGGGAAGAGATTTAAGACTTTCAATGAGATTCCGGTAAATACGACGAGACAGCTGATGATGATTTCAACAAAGGATTTTGCAGGTGGAAGAGATGCTGGAACTGTGTGAGGTCCCAATGTGCCTACTTTGAAGGGGGCTGAGGCATCATTGTCCTATACACAATGTTTCTTGTATATTGTATCTTCTTCACCAAATGTCTCTATTTTTCATATTACATCATCATTTATAAAGAATATTCTGCAGCTGTTTATTATATGGCTGGATACTTTATGGACAGACCTATATATATATATATATATACATATATATATATATATATATATATATATATAAACAAAACAGCAAATAAAGACAACATCCTAGATCGAGGAAGTTCAGTAGGGATGTGCATGGGAAAAAAAATTTGGTTCGGCAATTCTGGAATTCAGCACTTCGGTTCGGTTCGGCACTTCCGAAATTTGAGACTTCGGCAATTCAGAAATTCGGCACTTTGGCAATTCCCTAAGCCTTACCCTAACCTAACCTCTAAACCTAACCCCTAATCATGACCCCACCCCTAACCTAACCTAAACCCTAGCCCTACAACTACTCTTAACCTAACCCTACACCTAACCTAATCCCAACCCCAACCCTACCCCTAACCCAACCACTACCCTTAACCTATCCCCTAACCTCTACCACTACCTCTAACCTAACCCCGAGGGGTAGGGTTAGGGGTAGAAGTAGGGTTAGGAGTATGGTTAAGGCTAGGGTTAGGGTCAGATTCCTGTCATCATTCCCTTAATTTACCCTCCCTCTCCTGTTTTGCCACTTTTTTTTAGAAATCCGAAGCACTTTGGCACTTCCGAAATTCAGCAATTCGGTTCGGCACTTCCGAAATTCAACACTTCAGCACTTCAGCAATTCGGAACTTCAGCAATTCGGACATTCGGAAGCATCCGAATGTCTGAAATTCGTCCCAAAACTAATTTCCCATGTCTAATGTTCGGCATACTAACACAGGCATATATTTATAAAACAAATCTAACAGTATTATTCAGTATGCCGTTAAGAAAGGCATGTTGATTCATATGTACCAAAACAATTGTAGCAAATTAGAAGTGGACTCTCTGTAGTATGTCCCAATTGCTTTTTATAGTAGCTGCCATCTGAGAAGAAATATTGTATGTCTGTGGAACAGCCATCTCTATACTCTTTTTTTCATAATTGAACCTGTTCCAGCATCTGTCTTTTAAATCTAACAAGATCTAAAGAAGATTGTAGTTTTTGAAAACTGAGATCATAAAGTATGCTTCTTAATTGATTCTGCATTTCTTTGTCTGAGTTTTTAGCACCAGGGCATGTATTGGTATTTGACCCTGCTTCCTTATTTAATTTTGTCCTTTGAGTGCTAAAATTGTAGTGGGTATTTAAAAGGGTCAAAGGGTTCACCACATTACTCGGTTTAACAAACTAAGATTCACCACACAAAAGTTAAAGTAATCTTTAAAGATGAGAGAAGGATTAAAGTTCAAGAGTAGAAACAAATATTGGCAATAGAGAGGAGTTATTAACGTAAACAAATTTAAATAAACACATACGTCTTCCAAAAGGATAAACATGGTTTGTATGAAAAACATTTTACAGAAAAAAGTAATGTTTTAAAATTTTAACAAAACACAATATATTTAAAGAAGATTACAACAGTTTCATCCCCCAAAGAATCTTGCAAATTTATTTTCATATAGGTAGTTAGGTATACATAATTTTTTTTTTTTTTTTAAATCTCAAAACAGAACAAGAAAAAAAAGTCAGCTGAAAAGTAGATAGTGAAGCATTTCTAATTTACTGGTACAATTGATTTAGGTTTGCTATTACATTATGTATACAGGGAGTGCAGAATTATTAGGCAAATGAGTATTTTGACCACATCATCCTCTTTATGCATGTTGTCTTACTCCAAGCTGTATAGGCTCGAAAGCCTACTACCAATTAAGCATATTAGGTGATGTGCATCTCTGTAATGAGAAGGGGTGTGGTCTAATGACATCAACACCCTATATCAGGTGTGC